TCGGATGAGGGCCAGTTTAGGGACGGGCGAGGAGACGGGGAGGAGGAGGAGGAGGAGGAGGAGGAGGAGGAGGAGGAGGAGGAGGAGGAGGTGGAGGCGGAGGCGGAGGCGGAGGAGGAGGAGGACAAAGGACGAGAAAGGGGGGAGGACAGTATTTGTTCCCCCCTTCTGGCCTGGTCTGTTCTGGTGTGTCGTGGTGTTGCCTGGCCCTGAGTGGTCTCGTCCATCCTTTCCGCGAGTTGGATAGTCTGGTCTGCTCTTGTGTGAAATGTCGGCGGCAAGCGGGGGGGGGGAAGTGAGAAGGGGTGGGCCTTCTCAGAAGGCTCGGAAGTCCCCCGGGTTTCTGAGAAGTTTCCTGCTCATTCCCCGAAGACAGAAACATATCATAAGGCGCGAATGCTTATGAGAAGTCCCGCCGCCTTCTGAGAAGGCCTTCTCCTTCTCACTTCGCCCCCTCGCTCGCCACCAACAATTGTCTGGAATGGTCGGGCGAAGGAGGAGAAGGAGGAAGAGTATCGGGCGCTTCGTCACGAAAAGGGATATTCCGAAGAAGAACCAACGCCATAAACATAAAGCGTTGGCGCTCCGCGCGGATTTCTTGGGGATCCGCGCCAGGGAGGGGGGTCCAGCGCGGATCCAAGAAGTTCGCGCGGAGCGCCGAAAGGTTATGCTTATGCCGTTGTTCCTTCCTCTGATGAATGCAGGAGGGATTCAGAAAAGGGGTCCAACAGAAAACCAAGGCGAAACCTTAACGGCACACCTTTCTTGACCACGCCGTGTGTTGTTTCCCCCACTGAGCAACGCCCAAGAGCAGTGGGTCGTGGACTGCGGAAGTAATGAGAGCAAGAGAGAAAGAGAGAGAGAAAGAGAGAGAGAGAGTGAGCGCGAGACAGACACGGCCACGTTATGAATATACTGGCATGGCGTCCCTCTCGAGCGCCTCTCGAGACTCTCTTGGGGACCTCTCGGTGGCTTTCGGAAGGCCCCCACGTGTCTCTTGGGTGCCTTCTCAGCCGTCTTCGGGGCGGCTCCTTCTGCAGTATGGAGCTCCCTTGCGATGTTGAACCCGCATCGGGAGCCTCCTGCGGACAACGAGAGAGGCATGACGGCCATGGAACTCTGTTGAGGTTCTCCATTGGCGCCGTTGGTTGCAGAGGCGAACGAGGAGGTTCTAGCGCGGTTCATGGTTGGTTCTCTGGCGTTCCTCGCACGCCTTGGCGCTCTTGGGGCCTAAAAGAGGCTTCGTTCATTCTTCAGCGTTCTTTTTGTTTTGTGGTGGCGTGACTTTCTGGGGAACACCCCCCCGAAAGGACTTGAGGGTCTGGGGAGAAGAGCCCAGGAAGAGTATTCTCAGCCAGTGGCCGTCCAGAGGGCTCGGGGGGATTTCCGCAACTTGTGGCCTTCGACGCTCAACTTGTTCTGGGTCGACTCCAACGGGCAGGAGAAGGCAATGCAGGATTTACCAGCAGGCACCAACACCGAGCAGTACTCTTTCCCCGGGCACGTCTTCACAGTTCGAGAGGCGGAGTCTGGCATGTTGGTGAAGTTGTACAGGGTGGAAGCGGACGCCACATCCTCGTCCCCAGAAGTCACAATTGCAGTTTGTGCTGCGAGCAGTGGCTCTCAGCGCCGCGTCGACCAGAGCAGGTGGGAGGAGTTCGAGCAACTGGCGCAAGACCACCATTCCCCATGCATTGGCCATTCGACCGAGTGGAGCTGCGTGCTGCCCGTCTCGGAGCGCGAGCTAGAGCAGAGGCCTCACAAACTCTACGGCTTCCAGGAGGGCGAGACGGGCAGCGGAAACCCGTACAAAGTAGGTGCCACCGTTGACCATGTTTGGATGGACCAGCAGAAGTATATAGTCAATGTCTCCAGTTACGAGGGCGGCTTCCTCAAAATGCGCATGACAGACCACATGAAGTCGCTCCTGTACCCCTGGTTCGACGACCGCCTGCAAGCCTGTGAAAACGGTACGATGCCCTGCAAGCATGCTCCGATTCCCGGCTTTTTCACTAACAGCCACGTTGTCGGCATGGATAAGATTGAACTCACCTCATTCAGAAATATTCATCAGGGCATCGTGTCCGAGATGCAGCAGGTATTGGAGTGGTGGACCAAGCAGCCGCTTGAGCATACCACGACTTTTGGCCTTCGGATATATCGCCGCGGTTCCATGCTGATCAATCATTTGGATCGAAAGGACACTCATGTGGCAAGCGCCGTCTTGCAGGTGGGCGCGCGGGCCGACGTAGGGTGGCCGCTGGAGGTAATCCACCCACACAAGCCGGGTCTAATGGAGGTGTACTTGCAACCTGGCGAGATGGTGTTATACGAAGGGGCCCGGGTTGTTCACGGGCGGCCGATGCGCTTCCAGGGCGAGATGTTCGGGAACATCTTCTCCCATTTCAAGCCGCTGGGGTGGAAGGGGCCGTCTGGCTGGGTGAATCCGCACTATAAGCGGGGCCTGGAGAAGCTGCAGAAGCAGAGCCTCGAGTTGTAGCGTCTGCCTCGGCGGGCGACCACCGAGAGGGTAGGTCGCTGCGATCGGGGCCGCTCTTGTGCGCGAGTTGCCCTTATCAGAGCGCAGTAAAGCGATCTGGGAAAGCGGCGGGACACGACGGACTCCCCGTCCCCCCAGCAGCATCAGCTGCTCAAACTTTCCAAATGCCGCATCTGACCATCCTCGCAGACAGTTGTTGACGCTTCGCGTATCCCCACCAGCCCATCCAGAAACGATGCCCAGGGGAGTTGAGATGATCAGGGGAGCGGGGGAGCATGCAGAACAACAAAAGCGGGGGAAGCCGTCCGATACCCCAAGAGGGGGAGGATGGTGGAGGAGAAGAAAGAGGAGGAGAAGGATGGACGGTGACGAGGAGGAAGGAGGAAGAAACAGTGGACAAGGAGGAGGAGGAGGAGGAGGAGGAGGAGGAGGAGGAGGAGGGGCATCTTGTCAAGCCCAGGGCCGTCTTTGAGCGTCTTGGGTGCCTCGGGGATCCTCATGAAGCCTCTTGGGGGGCCTCTTGGGAGCCTCTTGGAGGCATCTCGGGCGCCTCTTGAGGCCGACTGGGCGCCTTGGGTGATTTGTCGCCTCGTCGAGGTTCACTCGAAGAGAGATAACGAGAGAATAAGATGATATCAATAATCAACTTCAACTGTGTAAAATGGGAAGAGTGTCTCTTTCCTCGGGGCAAGGTGCCTGGGGCTCGTTCACGAGCCAAGTCAAACAAAACAGTTCGATATGGAAACCGCGCACAGAAAGCTCGAGCACTGAATATGAGTACAGAAATCCACATACTAACCTTGGTTAGAGTTCTATACAAAAACCTGATTTCTACGAGACGGGGGGTTCAGTGCTCCCCTTACTGTAGGTGAAATATCTCAAGACCTGAACTGAGCTTCTGATGAGGCTTTGAAAAATGAGACAGAGCAGAGAAAGAGGAGGTGCAGGCCTGTACAGCGGCGGCCATGCTCGAGCGGGTCTGTCGCTGCTCATCCTCGAAATCACTCTCTGGGTCTTCGTCGCTGTAGCTGGGCACCACAGGAGGTCGATCCTCATCGTCGATGGTGTCCAAGGTGTCCTTTTTCATGATCTTACGACGCTTGGATGACGTGAAGCTCGGGTCTTGCACCAAGGCCCACTGCTGCTTGACGTAGAAGTCCAGGGTAACTTGCAGAGCGGGAGCCTCCAACTTCGTGAGTCCGTCGGCTATCATCGCTTCTGAGTGGACCCAGCGTAGCACGGTTGTAGCTGCACTCATGCTCTGACGGAGGGCCAGCGCCTCGATCGCTGACCTCTGGTCGTTACAGCCGTATCCGGACGAGCATGCTCTCACCACGCTGTCATACATGGCCTTGCAGTCGGTCACGAGCGTACCGGACACCGTCCTGATGCACTCGTCGATCTCGTGGACAGGTATCTGTCGTCCGTGTAGCATCTCGTACCAGGCTAGTCGAGCATACTCTTGAGCTTCGTTGGCCATGGTCCCCATTTGAATTTCGGCACTCAGAGAACTGCGGGCTACCCGAGGTAACTTACGGGAGGCTCCTTGGATCACCGAGACACTGGTAAGATGTCCGTCCAGGATCTTGCGTTCCGCCATCGCCAAAATCATTCCACCCTGAGAGCCTCCTGATTTGCGTACCTTCCATGCTGCATCATGCCACGTGACGAAGACCGGGTCATCCATGGGCTTGAACACGATTGTGATCCACGATGTCTCATGAGCTGTGTGCACTAGCTTATTGATCTTCTTGACGGTCGCCATCGTTCCAGTTGGCACTGCACCGCCCAAGATACTCGTCTCTCCTGCGAGCCATGTCATTCCCTGAGACGCCAGGAACATGGTACTCCCCAGCGCGGCTCGGCACTTGGACTTGAGGCGGTCGGACAGTGGTACCTCGTCCCTCAGCTTCGACTCCTCCTTGGTCAGCTCGATGTACTCGACCTTCTGCACGGCCTTGGCCAGGCTCTGGATGATGGTATAGTCCGCTAGCTGCACGTACTCTGAGCCGCACTGCGTGATGAATCCGGTCTCCCAGGATCCCCAACTGTACAGCTCTTGCACCTGGTACAAGTTCTTCTGGCCTATGGGTGAGCTCGGTATTCCTATCACAAAGTCGTCCACGTGTACGAAGATGACCGTCTCCACCTGACCGTCGCTGTCGTACTTGATCCACAGGCATGGCTCCAAGGTCATAGCCACATATCCCAGCTTCTTCAGGTCGCTGTCCACCTTGTGGTACCACTCCTTTGGGGCATTCACGAGTCCATATGCAGCCTTTAACATCTTTACGCACTCCTCGTCTGACAACTGCATGGCCTCGCGTAGCTCGGGAACCGGCTCCACCAGCAGGTCGTGCTTGGCTTGAGTTGGATCTCCCTGCAGGAAGGCTGCCTTGACGTCGCCCTTGTAGAGCTTGAGCCGCCTGTTGGCCATCATCTGCAGCGCCAAGTTCCGGCCTCGAGACGATACGGTGGGGCTCGATTTGTCGATCACGGCCAGACGCGGGTCCTGGAACCCCAGCAGGATCAGCCTCGCTTTCACTTTGCCGTCGTCCTTCAGAATCAGGTGCCACCTCATCTTCATAGGCTTCACCCCCGCCTTTCGGAGAGCCGCCTGACACACCTCGTTGTGCATCCAGTTGTTCACCTCCACGAGTTTGGCGTTGCCCACCAAGGCCTTCACCTCCGGAGTCGCTTTCCGCAGGTTGATCTCGACCTGGCCCTTCTTGACTGCTTTCTTCACCGTCTGCTTCGGCTTCTCGGTGAATGCAGCCAGCGCGTCGCCCTCCATGACGAGCTCGGCCAGGTAGACGTCCCTATCCTCTGTCATATTGGAGAAGATCTCAGCCACTCCGAGCTCCTCGGTCGTCCGCGCCTTCTTCTCGGGGGGTGCCTCTGGTGGTGTAATCGGTGCTGTCCTGCTGGCCACGCTGCGCTGGATCGATATCGGTACATCATCCAGGAGAGGGTTCTTCTTCACTCGATACTCGGTGGAGGCCGGCCTGTCTGGTGCTGCGGCTGCTGCTGGCGGTGGTGTCGATGATGATGCTCGAGATTCTGGAGTCTCCTCCTGATCTGGCTCTGAGTCGGGGGCCTCCGCGATACGGCGAAGTGCTTCTTCTGCGCTCATGTCCTCATCCTCGGGGGGCTGCTGATCTCCTCCAGGTCCTTCGAAGTCCTCGCTCGAGATCTCATCGACCTCGGGCACGGCCTCCTCGACCTCGGGCATGGCCTCATCGACCTCGGGCATGGCCTCGTCCTCTGCAGGATCTGCGGGCGCCTCGTTCTCGTCGGCTCTCTCTGGTTCTGGGTCTCCTTCAGGCTCGTCAGCCGAAACCTGACGCTCAGATCGATCATGATCTGCTCCCTCGGGTGGTCTCTGATGGCTTAGATCCCAGTACCTCGCACCGATGTCCATGGCCTCCGTTAGGGGCTGTCTCTCGATGGGCTTCGCTTTCTGAAGGATCTCGTGTAGTGCCTTCTCGTGCTCCGACGCGGGACGAAGCTGCTGAGGCGTGGTCAGTATCAGCTGGTTGTGATGGTACACCAGCACCAGGTTGCGGGGGGTTGCCTCGCCCTTCTCGTGACGGAAGAACTGGTTGACCACGAGGGCCGGTCCGATGAATTCACCCTTGGACTTTTTCAGCTTGTCCTTCCTGCTGCCCGGCTCCACCCAGTAGAAGACGAGCTCTCCCGTCTCCCACGTCCTGAACCTCCTCGTCTTGGACAGCGCAGCCAGTCGAGCCTGTCGGTCTGCGAGAGCCTCGGCAAAAGCCGTACGGGCCTGCATGCGCCTCTTCATCATCAGCTCCGCGCTGGTGCCTTTCTCCGCCTCGGCTTGGAGCTGCACGACTGTGCCCGTCAGCTGGGAGTCTAGTGGACGCAGCTGCCTGCCGAAAATCACCTGGTCGGGCGAGGCCCCGGATACACGGAACATCTCCGCATGGGCTGCTGCCGCCCAGCTGAACAGCTCTTGGATCGGGCACTCCGGGTCCATGATGGCCATCCTCGTTGCTGCCACCTTGAGCAGGTTGATGGTCACTTCCACTCGCCCGTGCTTCCAGTGTGCCTCAGCGGGTCCGACCTCCCAGTGAATCCCATGCTCTGATGCCGTCTCGTTAAGCTTCTTGGCTCTGTAGGCTCCGGCTGGGTCAGTCCTGACTTGCAGAGGACGACCGAAGTACCGCGCCCAGCAGTTCACGAAAGTGTCCCACACCGTCGCCGACGAGGTCTCGCCCGTGTTCCCTTTGTTTGGCACGGTGGTGTGGATCACTGGCACGGCCTTGGCTGAGCCCTCGTCGACCATCATCGTACCTCGAGCTCTGGTCTCGGTGACGGGGTGGATCCAGTCGAAGCCGTCCATCTGGAGCACGTTCAATGGTTCCGCCTCGCGACCCGATGCCACGGGCATCGGCTCCCGACGGGCCGTTGCTTCACAGATGCTGCACTTCATCTGGCCTGCCAGCGCGATAACCCAGGGCTGAGCTCCCTTCCGAGTGAGGTAGGCGCGCATGGCATTGAGGCCCATGTGGTTCATGTTGACGTGGATGCTCATGAGTTCCTTCTTGACCAGGTCAACCACCTTCGGATCTATCTTCGTGAGGTCGTCCTTGTTGGCAGTCGTCTGGTTCATCTCCTCCTCGTCGGTCGCGAATACTTTCTGCACCTCGAAGTAGTCCTGGGCATCCTCCTCCATGATGGTCGCAGCCCACTTGCGGCACATAGCTGTCGGATACCGGGCCGTCTTCCCGACATCGACGAGGCCTGTCTCGATCACGGTGTGCTCGTGGTCACGCGTACACCTCCTCCGAAGTCGGTCGGCAAGCTTCTGGTTGGTGGTGACGATCCTCCAGCCTTTGCGAACCAACTCTCCGGTCACGTCACTCCTCATACCCCAGCCGCATCCGTAGCTGATGGTCTCGTACAGCTGCTGCCACACGTCGTACAGCTCCGGAATACTTCTCCAGGAGCTCGCAGTGAGCGGATGCTCCACTGAA